GCAGTGTCAGTGTCGCACCCGTTACAATTGAAATATCCCGAAATAAAAAAAATCACAAACAATATGTAGTAATAAAAATACCCTAAATAAAACAAAAAAACCTATATAAACAATATAATACTGGTTTTTAGTGACGCAAGCTCTTTACAAAGTGTATACTGTGTACACTGTTAAACTTTGCTACCGTCAACTACAACTATCAAACAAATACTAAAAATATTATGACAATGTCTGTCCATTTATTTTGGTACTCATATAAAAACGCGCTTTAAAGCGGCCGAAAAAAGAACGGCATAAGGCTTTAATGCGGCCGACGTAAATAAGTTACTAAATGAAATTAAGGACATCCTATTAATTACAAAATATAAATATGCTGTAAAAGATTTGCTTCTTCAAAACTGTTTTAAAAAATTTATAAACTTTTAATTTGTTTGTTTTAAATAATGTATTTTGTAGGTATATTATTAATTTAGTGTAACCTCTTGACGTTGTCGATATCATTGTAATGATCTTATGGCAATAAAACTATTATTATTATTAAAGGCGGTAACCTTTATCCTATGTATTTTTAAGTATTTGTTCATTTGCAAAAAAGTTAATCGTTACAAAGTACTGATTGACCCTTTGATTTTGCGCCCCCAAAACGTTGCGCCTGCGTGCGTGCACGCACTGCACGCTCGCCAGGAACGGCCCTGGGCGTCTCAACGTCGTTGATTTTGCGCAGCTACACGAGAGCCCTCTTGCGATATTTGTATTGTATTGGGAATAACCAATTAGCAGATTTTTCGAATCTTACACTGGGAATGCCCAATTGAATTTAATTGGAAATTACCTATAGGTAGCTTTATCCAATCGAAACCAATAAAAACCATTAGAATCCTAATTGGACTTTTCCATCATGGAAAATACCAGTAAAAACCAATTTCTGTTTTATATCGCGCCCAATTAAGTCCCATTCAGCCCCATTGGTAACAACCAATACTTCAATTGGTTTCTACAGGAATTAATGGGTCATTTACAACAGGGTAGCTGGCTTATTTCATGCAACAGTAAACCAGTAAGTTGGAAGTCCAAAACATTTTCCTTCAGTTGCATGCAAACTGCAAGAAAAATGTTTCGGCCCAAGTGTGACACGTATTTACAATAATTTCTGATTAAGAGTTGTATTCAACAGAGGTGTAACCGACGGGCAACACATTTCCTAAAATACCTTGTTCGTCAGTTGCATTGCATGCAAACTGCAAAAAATTTGTTTCCGTTCAAGATAGCCGCGTATTTTCAATAGTTTCCAGTCAACAATTGTATACAACAGAGGTGCAACCGACGGCCAACATATTTCCCACAATAAAGAACCGCGCTTGCGCGAGAGTCGCCGCTACCGTTAAAGCGTTGCTCACCATTTGTTCTTTATAATTTATGGTTTGTTCTGCGAGCGTGTGTACGACGTGTAACTTTTGAACTCGTTGGTTTATCGAAAAATGATAAGAGACATTTTTTGTAGAGCGTTCAATTTCCCACAAGAATATATATCGCGCTTAAAAATCTTTTAATTAAACATTCAATTTTCTTAGTTTCTTTAAGAAACTTTCTTGACCCATCACTGGTAATATTCATAAGAATATAAGAAAAAATTGAACCTACACCTCGCGAGGTGTAGGTTCAATTTTATCTTTTAATTAGTTTGTGAGCTAGAAAATTATAAAGAAACAAAACAAAATTTCCCATGTTATTTAAATGGGAAATAGAAATTCTCGATGCGCGACCTCTAAATATTAAAATTAAGAGCTCCGGTTTTTACAGGTGTCTTTTTTTGGTATCGTGAACATATTTCAGTGCGAAATTTTAGAAAAAAAAATAGTTGATTATTTTGAACCAGCCTAATATTTAAAAATCCCAAGACGTTGATTTGATTATCCTCGTTGCCTGTCACCAGTTTTTGCCTTTTTTTTATAGGTAGGAGGAAATGCATTTACGCACACTGGAGGGCTTGATGTTGCTGCCTCCGGTAGTGTGGGACTCGACAACAATACCCACTAAAACCTCCGCCTTTCGGCATAACTTCCGGCAGGGAGCCACGTTGTTTAAACTTTGGGCTAGCTAGCGCCCCAATTGTGCCCTCACGCCCGGTTCTTTTTCCCCAAGGATGTCCCTGCATAGTCTGTCAATTGCAGCCCATCCCTCTGTGCTGTCCAGCATGATCCTTACCATGTTCCCGGCATTCAGTGTCTCGCCTACTACTCTCTCCGCCTCCATTCTTTCCGCCTCCCACTCCTCACAGTGGAAGAGAGTGTGTTCGGGGGTTTCCGGCTCGTTACACACCTGGCACCGGCTCGACGCTGTCTTGCCGATCTTCCGTAGGTAGAGATTGAAATGCCCGTGGCCCGTGAGGAATTGCATGGTGCAGTAGCTCAATTTCCCATGCGCTCTCTCTTTCCACTCCGCAATATGTGGAATCAGCCTCCTGGTCCATGCGCCCTTCGTGCCTTCCTCCCCTCTACGCTGCCATACCTCCATAATGTCTTCCAGGTTTCGGGTCTTGTCCATTGTTCCGGCCTTGTGGTTTCTCTTTCTCAAAGTTACTTGGAGATCCAGTGGGGATACTCCCGCCAGCACCTGCAGGGCCTCGGTTGAGACCGTCCTGTTGGACCTCGTTATGCCTATTAGGACTGGTCTCTGGGACTGGTTTAGCCTCTCCCTCACCTTCTTTAGCCTGACCGCCTCAGCCCATACTGGGGCTCCGTAGAGTGCCACCGACTGATGGACGGAAGCGAGTAGCCTTCTCGCCGAGTCCCCCGCGCCACCCATTCTGGGCATGATGCTACGGACACTCTGTGCTGTTGCTTCCGCTTTGCGGCACGTTTCTTCGACGTGCCTCACCCACGTTTCACAACTGTCCAACCATATGCCCAGATACTTGATGTTTGACTCTAGCTCGATGGGCTCTCCCAAGACGTCGATCGTGCTTGCTCCCTTCTCCACCATCCAGGCGTTGATAGTCGTTATCGCCTGTTCCGCCCTAGCTCTTGCTTCGCCCAGGTCCCTGCCGATGGCGACGATGACCAGGTCATCGGCATAGGCAATCGTTCCACAATCCCGCGGCAGTTGCAATCTGAGGACTCCATCGTAGACGATGTTCCATAGTAGGGGGCCCAGGACAGATCCCTGGGGCACCCCGGCCGTCATTGCTCTCGTCCCTCCGCCTATCTCCAGTTCCCGTTCCTGCAGATAGTCCATGATTAGAGCCACGAGGTAGTTTCCAACTTGCCTTCTTTGCAGTTCAGCGACCACCTCCGTCCACCTTATCGTGTTAAACGCGTTGCGGACGTCGATAGCCGCTACTATACAAATCTCCCTGCTCCTCCAGTTGCCCTCCTTCGCAGAACGCACCTTCCTAAGGACCTCCTGCACAGCATCAGTGGTAGAGTGTTTTGCACGGAAACCATATTGTTGTTCGTGCAGCTCCCGGCCATTCTGTTCGAGGGACTCGACCAGGCGGGTGTAGATCACCCTCTCGAACACCTTTCCGAGGTTGTCCAGTAGGCAAATCGGGCATGCCCCTCCCTCCTCTTCCGGATTTTTTCCTGCCTTTGGTATCAGGACAACCCTGGCCTTCTTCCACTGCTTCGGGAATGTGGATTCCTCCATTAGGCGGCTATACAAGCAGGCCATATCATCCGCGTAATCCAGCGCCGCGATTTTCACGGCCTCAGTGGGGATTCCGTCGGGGCCCGGTGCCTTCTTATTCTTCATCTTAAAGATTGATGCTTCGACTTCGGCTTTGCTGACTGCATTCCCCGGCTCCCACTCGAATACCGGCTTGTCCCACACCGAGACCGGGTGGACTGGGAACAATTGTTCTGCGATCCTGCTCTTCTGTTCGTTGGAGAGCATTGGGGCCGCAAGCCTGCTACCCTTTTGCAGACAAGCTGGTAAGCCGTGCCCCACACATCGTTCTCAACGCTGTCGATTAGCTTCTTATATGAGGCTTTCTTGGCGCGGGTTATTTGCAGTCTAAGGTCCCTCCTCGCTTCTGCCAGCGTCTCCACTGCCGATCGATGGTCTGCAAGGTTCTCCTCGCTGGGTACCCGTCTCGCCTTAACCCTCTTTGTGGCCTCCTATCTACGGCGTCTATTCCTGGTCGCGATCGCCAGCTCCACCTCCCTGCACCACCAGTAAACTGGCTTGCGCCGATTCGTTCGGGGTGGGGCCGCTACCTGGCAGGCCTTTCTCAGGGCACTTGTCAAGGTATCTGGGAACAGTTCATCCCCGCCAAACAACTCCTCTCCTAAGGCTGCGCGAAGCTTCTGCTTTTGCCCATCATTGCTGATGCGCCATCCTATCTGCCGCTACTCGTTAAGTCTCCCTCCTTCGGTTAGCTCAAACTCAATCGCTCGATGGTCGCTGAGCGTTTCTTCGTCAGAGACCTTCCAGTTCTGAATCGTCTGCCTGCCACGCTCTTTAAATATGGTTAAATCGATAACGCTAGTGCGTCCATTGTGATCGTATGTTGGGGTGGAGCCAGCGTTCGCAATTCTCAGGTTCAAACTGGCAGCCCAGTCCCTGACCGTGCGGCCCCTATCGTCCTCAACGCCCGAACCCCAAGAGTAACTTTTGGCGTTAAAGTCACCCCCAACCAGGATCGCTGCATCTGGTCTCTCCATTCTTATCTGGGCATCCATTTCCTCCAGATCTCTCTCGAAGGTGTCCCTGCTGTGGTTCAGGGAGAGGTATACGGAGTATAACGTCACATTTCCAACCTTAGCCCTGACGAAGGCAGCCCCGCCGCCCACCTCGTCGCAATATCCGTTGGTAAGGAAGATTGCAGCTGATTGGTTCTCGTTGACAATCCATCCGGTACTCAACCTGTTACACCGCTCATATAGGAGGTCGTGCGCCCGCCTGCACCTATTCATATTTAATTGGACGATGGTGTGTTGGTTCATTTGGGAATGCTCCGCAGGTCTTCCACCGCCATCCTTGCTCCCTCTGCCTCTAGTGACCGACGCGAGGAGTGTCCTCATTCGGTCGCACTTGCCGGACCAGGCCCGGTGCGGCTGCTCGCACAGGGGGCAGTAGGGCTCCTCCGTGCATTTATCGACCGTGTGCCCTGTTTTGCCGCACTTGAGGCAACACTTTGACCGGTCCGTCCCGGCGCACCTGCTCGCAATATGCCCGGGCTCCCAGCACTTGTGACACTTCTCGATGTTGACCCTGGGCCTGGCGCTGGCTGGGGTCAGCCCCATGATGATGCCCTTGTGAGCTCAGATCGCCGCGCTGGTCTCCACGGGAGCCAAAACCGTCACCGACTGCTTGCCCTTAAATCATCCTCGCAGGTCCCTAACCTCGATGTCCTCGGCAGCTGCCCTGGTTTGCTCGACGATGGCAGCCTTGATCTCCGCTTCACCCAGGGCAGCCTCGATGTTCGTCATCATCAGAGTGGTCCTCCTCTCGCCCATGAGGGCTTCAACTTTCTCCCCGACCTTGCCCTCCGCGAATATTTTGGCGACGTCCTTGGCGCTGCCCTCGCTTAAGCTAATTAGCAGATGCCCATCCCTTGTCTGATGGACATCTGCCACCCTGAGGTCATGCCCCTTTAACGCCTTCCTCGCACTGGCCAGGAGTGCCGGGTACCTTAGTTAATTAACTTTTTAACATTACAATTAGTGGTAATACAGACATATTAGTAAGACAATCCATCTGTCAAAATTTACAAAAAAAATTAAATATCTCAAAAACTGTTAAAAATAAAAAAATAATCAAATTTTAGTATTTCTAGAATTTTACGTAGAATTCAAAAATGCAATAATATTTATATGGTTCCATTTGAAAAACCAAAGTTGATATCACTTCCGGTTTAACCGGAAGTGATAACGCATTGAAAATAATTTTAAAAAGTAGTTTACATTGGCTTATAATTGCTATAAAAATTTCAAATCGATATCTTTTTCCGTTCTCCATAAACTTCTAATGAATAAGTTAGGTGAATCAACCTGTATATAAATAGCACTGTTAAAATAAAAAAGAATGCAGTTCAAATTGGATAATTTCTAAAATCGGAATAAAAATCGATACGGTGAATCTCCGAATTTGGCAAAGCTCAGCCGTCCGGCTACATTTGTTCGGTCAGGGAATACCAGAATTACTAGATACGCTTGAAAATAATTAATAAAACTTGCTCTAATTTTTAGCCACTGAAATATTTAGCAATAATAATATCTAACAAATTTTAGACCGATCCAACCTCACTTTCTTCCAATTAAATTATTTTTCTATGGTTTTTTTTGGAAACGTAGAAAAAGTATAGTCTGAAACACGTTTGGAATTGCATATTCCGCTCTCGTGAAACCGTCAAACTCGCCTTCGGCTCGTGTGACAAACTCTTCACTCGAGCGGAATATGTTGTATTCCAAACTTGTTACAGATTATACTATTCTGCATACACAAATTTGTTGTAGTATATACAACAAATTTTTATAAAGTACACCTTACCACCCTTGTAAAATTTGCATTTTTGAACCGATTTTTAACACTACCAGTTTTAATCGCTCTTAAATAAAGGGTGTACCAGCTAGGCATTTTGTAATTTTTTGATAATCAAAAAAGTGACGTAAATAAACACATTTAGTGGATATTTTAATAGAACCAAATGCTTCCCAAGAAACGACCAAATTTACCATAGTGTAGGTGGTACTCTAATAAACATGCGCATAAAAAATTATCAAATTATTAATTAAAATCTGACTGAAAAAATTGTCATTTAAACATAAATAATTAAATTATCAACGACTACTGTCACTTTCATTGTCAAAGTCTCTGATTTCCTAGCTTTGTATTGCTTATTCAAAGTAATATGGCTTATTTAAAACAAAAAAATTAAAACATATCCCAGCTGGGACACCCTTTATTTAAATTTATCGCTCTTAATTAAGAACGATAAAAGTGGCAGTGTGCACACAAAATTTTTATCCGTTGTTAATTTTGCTCTAAAAAATCCCCAATAGTACTTTTCAAAATTTTGACCCCAAAAAGAGATCACGGTTGGCCATGAGTTTAGAAGTCAAAACATGTGACATAATATGTCACATATTATGCGTTTAAATCATTTTTCAGCGGGCCATCACAGCGAAGTAATGAAGCTTACACTGAGGTTAACTCTCTTACCGCCAAGCGTTAATAAATTATTTTTATTTTTCAGATTGATTATGGGGCCTTTATAGGTGCCACCTATTAGGTGGTGACACCTTAAAAGAACACATTCATAAACTGTTCAGGAAGTTTATCTCTGACGAGATATGCACCCCAATATACATGGGGGGGATGAGCAAGGCAATCATCCCCTTTAGAACCCTGGTTTTGTTAGGGCTATTTTTGGTATGTTAAATAATATTTTATAACAACTAAACATATGTTTATTGCTAAACATATATTTATTGCAGGAGCTGTGTGTACCAATAAAAACTTTGATCCACCAACGCGTGTTGAACTTCAAAGAGAGGTAACAGCGAGTGGCAAAACAGCGTCAACGTAATACCGCTAAAGCCTGATTTATAGATTTCCTTCCTAACAGTGAGCGCGTTAAAATCCCCCCCTGTTAACTTTTGAACCAAATAAGATATCGATGTCGGATAAAAACAAGGGTAAACTATATTGTGTTTACTACTTTTTGACGTCAAAATGAAATTTTTTGCCTAACAAGTGCCAAGAGGGCAGTATCAACTTGAAAATTTCAAATGGAAAGAGGGTGCTTGTAATACCTCATTTGAAAGGTATTTTAATTCTCTATATAACATTTTTTTGTTTTTAAAATCCGTTTAACCATAGCTTAGTTATTAGGGTTTAAAATATAAATTTGTGAAGGTATGCTAAGAGTGATTGAGCTGAAACTTAAACGTCCAATATAATGGTTAGTCTGCCAGCTTTATAGCAACGATTTGCCTTTACGACATTTAATTTACCATCTAGACGGAAAGATGCGAAAAGTTAGGTACCTACAATTAAATATATTCCCATTTCTTTTTTTTACAAGCTGGGTAGGTCGATAGCGTTACTACTTACTTTACTTTACTTTATTGTTTTTTTTATAAAATTCCCAGGTATTTTATGAAAAGTCGACAAATTAAATAAAATGTCAAGAAACATGTTCTTATAATTTATATAATTTTATAAAATGTCGACAAATTAATTAAAATATAAATGATAAGAATCATGTGCTTAAAATAAAAAAATATTATGTTATTTCAAATAAAAGGCAAAAATATAAATTTAAATATTTAAAACAAATAAAACTTATCTCTTAAAATGAAATAGACAAAATTCTACTATTTGAATTACTACCAGCATTTTTTACTAATAAAATAGTCGTTTTCACTTTTAAATAGTTATTTTTTACTACGTAAATAGTTAAAGTTTGACTAATTTAAGATAAGTCACCATCTTTGACTATTTCTCCGAGTTAAAAGTAACTAATTTCTTTAATCGTTTGCAGCCAACAACAAAGTATTATTTGAATTAAATGTATATAGGCTCCATGGTTAAATGGGCCATACAACATTAAAATATTATGAACAATATTTATCGAAAAATAAAATTGATTTTTATAAAAGTGACTGATAGCCACATTAGTTATGACAACAGCTTGACAAGCTTGACACGCGACAGACGGCTGCGTCAAAACTTTTGTAAATTTAAATCTACTAATTTGACTATTTCATTCAGTTCTAATTTAACTAATTATTAGTGACTGCTTTTTCGCTATGAAAATTAGTCAAATATGATTAGTTATTTTTGAGTTATTCATTTTAAGAGAGTTTAAATAGTCCGATTAGATACCGTAAATACGGGTGACTTTGCACCCCGCGGGTGACTTTAACCCATTTATGAAAAATCTTTTCGCGCTCGATAAAATTAACATTTATAATTTGTTGGTCTAAACCTATCAATTGAGCGATTCTATTGAGTTTATATTACAGGAAAATCAGTGTTTTAAAGAAAGAAATGGGATTTATTACACTTTAAAATTGTATATATCGTATCAGTGCAAAACTCTTAGAAATACACGCGTTACAATTTCTATATTATGCGCAATCCATTGGAATGATGATCCTTGGTTAACTACAGGTCGATTTTTTATTTTTTTTATTGGTAATCCCTTGCAATAGATATATGTCGCTGCTAACACGTGTCTAATAGAAATAAAATATAATATTACATTCATTTTATACTGAAAAAACACTGTGAGACAAAGTAACCCGCAACCAGGGGGTAACTTTGCACACCCAGTTTTTAATGTTTATTTTTGAAACTCAGCCCTTTGTAATATTATAACATAGTTATTATGAAAGAGCAACTCAAGACTCAAATTTTGGTATACAAAATTTAATGTTTATGATTGTTAAAACCACAAAAATTTTAAGCTGAAGTTTGAAAGTGAGCCAAAGCCACCCGTGTTTACGGTACTCGTATGAATTTTCCAATAGAGGCAATAAAGATATTATCTGAATGGACTGGAAGCATCCCATTCGGACCACTTTCGACCAATAAAAGATCCGTTGGAGATTTCCAATGATTTCCTATTTAACTCATAAAATGGGTCCCATATGAGAGAATATTTTTCATTTTTTGTCAGCCTTTTATATAAACATTCTAACCGTTATTACTGTTTGGCGCAAAAAAAAAGATGGTAGGTATTCAATGGTTGTCGAATTGCGTTTAGATTAAGAAAACTAAAAATAAGTAAAAACTATGCTGCTATAAACAATACATACTTCTGCTAGCTTTATAATATTTTTCATCAGGTTTATAAAGTACTATTTTTAATCTTTTGATTTCCTTTGGTGTTACGGCCAGAGCTGTCAAAGATACTTTTAAAAAGTATCTATTTACAAGATAAGTTACTTTTTGAAAAAGTATCCGAAGTTACTTTGGGTATCTAGTTACTCTTTAAAAAAAGGAACTTAAATACTTATCTTAAGTTACTTTTTAAGATACTTAATAAGATACTTTTTTAGTTACTTTGTATATTAATATAATTATGTATAATTCGTATAAACCGCCCAACAAAAATTCGTTCCAACCCCACCCTGATTTTTCAAATAATTTTAAGCTTTTTTAACAATTTTTTTCAATAAAATCTAGTTGATTAAAACCATTGAAGGGTCTAATGCAAAAAGTGTCTAACTAAGGCACTTTTAAAATATCTTAAAAATAAAATGAGATAAAATCGTTAATTAAACACCACTTAATTATAAAAAGAAAAAAATTATCTCACACTTTTCATTTAATCTTTTTTAAAATTTAAATGGAAAACATACATTGAACATTATAGAATGTACGGTACAATGTAACAACCAATATCCTACATCAGTACATCATAAAGAAACAAGTGCAAGTACTTACCTAACCTAACTTATTTCAAACTTACCACTATAAATTCAAGTCGCAACGAACGGAAACACCCTTCTACAGAGCGGGTGGCGAAGTCACAGATTATAAAAGAAGTATAGGTGAATAAAAATTAAGTAGGTATAACAAAAATCGCCGCCAGTCGATTGGCGCCAGTCGCTGAAGTCGCCAGTATA